TTGACCTCTTCATGGTTCATCCATGTTAATCAGCTTGTTTCTGGGTTTTTCCACTCTACCAACTTAGGTTCTGATGTTCTTTCCTTCATCAGGGTTCAGCACTATTTATCCGAGTGCTTTCCCACCTTCTGAAAGTGTGTTGCTTTTCCTCTCTTCTTTGTTCTGTGGTTTTATGCTTCTTTTTAAATCCTTTTATTGTAATGCAGTTCTGTTGGGGTTTTAGTGGGAACACAGATACCCACAAGTATTCTGTCCACTATCTTGGACCAGAAGTGAGGACTGTCATTATCTTCACATGAAAATTTGGAAGGACGACCGGAGTTCTCATCCATAGAGAAGGTTACCTTTTTGTATAAAGGAGGAGTTGGGGTGGGAAGGTAATGATTTCCATTTGGGACAAGCTGATGTTGAAGTTTCCCTGGGACAATCAAATTGAGATTTCTCAGAGACCTTTGGATGGAAGAGCCTGGAGCCTAGGAGAGCGTTCCAGGTTAGATAGGGGTATAGGTAGGTTTCAGGAGGGAGGGAACTCTGAGGAGAGTGTGTGAAGACAGCAAGGGATGGAGGACAGGGTATCAGTAAGGGTCAAGACAGATGAGAGCATTTTGTAAGGATTAGATTATCATCAAGGCTTTTGCTTTGTTTTGCTGCCCGCCAACTTCTGAGATTAAAATCATTTTTTAAGCAGAGTTTCAAACTTCCCCTTTTTAAATTTTTCAAATAGACTTTTTAGGGGGGGATAATTTGGAGTTCACAGCCAAATTGAGCAGAAAGTACAGAGAGTTCCCATACTCTCCCTGCCCGTACACACGCACAACCTCCTGACAACACCCCCCACGAGAGTGAGACATTTGTTACAGTCAGTGAACTCCACTGACATCATTATCACCTGCAGTCCACAGTTTTGCTAGGGTTACTCTTGGTGTGCATTCTGTGGGTTTTGACAAATAGGTAATGACATGTATCCACCATTATAGTAGTTTCACTGCCCTAAAGATCCTGTGCTCAACTCTCTTCTGTTTAGGGAGTCACGCGACGTACTCCGACGTCCAGTGCTCTTTCCTGAAGCTTTGCACGAAACCGGAACAGTGAGATAATGGGGATAAGAAAGCTAAGATGGATGGAGGGTTGCTCTGAAAACTCTGGATTACCTTACAAGGTCTAAGTGATTTGTAGCATGTCCCTGAAAACTCCTTCCTCCTTAAACACCCACAGGCTGTGGACAGGCTGGAACCAGCCATCCCACCACAGAAGCAGGTCATCCCAGCTTATGATCCAATACATGCTGACAGGAAGGCAAATACTCCAACTACATTAACAAGGCAGTGTTACTTGGTTACTAGACAAAATCACACATACACTTACTACCTTCAGATATAGTATATATACATCCTTTGAGGGAAAGAGACTTAATCACTTAAAATGGGGAGGATTTGCCTCTGTCACAATAGAGTGCAGCATGGCCCCTGTGAATGGAATGAGAGGAATATGAGTCTCAGCTGTTGATGACAGTCTCTGGCAGGTCAAAATGTTTCTCAAGAAAGGGCTTTGAGGGGTGCCTAGCTGGCTCAGTTGGAAGGGCATGCAACTCTTGATCTCAGGGTCGTAAGTTTGAGTTCCATGCTGGGTGTAGAGATTATGAAGAAAAAAATAAATAAACTTAAAAAAGAGAAAAAAGGAAAAAAGAAAGGGCTTTGAATCTGCCCAGGGTTCTGTGCCACGAAGCAAGATAGAGACAAGTTTGATCTGAAAATATTTAAGGGCAAGTGTTACTGGTTAATCACCCAGACCATGAAAATATCACCATGGGGTCTTGTAGACTATTTGATTTTGAGTGAAATTACCCAGAACGTATCCTATGGTTCTGCTAGGACAACAGTTTTCCCTCTTGAGTGCCCTAACCTAATAGGTTAACCTGGGAAACAGGTATAGTGATTCCCCAGGTGTTAGGGGTAGAGTTTTGATTTAACTGGACTGAGAAGGACCTGGGTATCTGTTTATCTTAAAAGCATCTTCTGGTGGTTCTACATGCAGCCAAGGTTGAGACCTACTGCCTGAATTAGCTTTACCTGTGCTCCCGATACCTGAAGGAGGCCCACATCCACTAACAAAAGTGACCCACCCACTGACAAAAATAAGACCATAGTAACATGATTTGGTATTGAATGAATGTAAGTCAGTGTCCCTCCCCACATCACAGATAAGGAACCAAAGCTGAGAGAGGCGAGGGCCCTCACTCAGAGTCACACAGGAAGCCCTGCACCAGGTATACAACCAAGTTCTCCGCTAGAGATGAGGTTCTTTTGTTTCTTTGTCACATTGTGTTCTATTCCAAATTTCATAAATCAGCTTACCTGGCGTGCCTCAAAGATGCATGCTCCCTGCATGTTTGCACTGCCTGGGACAGGAGAAGGGCCTCTGCCTGGTTTCGTGAGTGTTTATGAGGGGCTTGTTTCCTGCAGAGGGGCTGGGGGTGGGCAGAGGTGGGGGGAAGGATCAGGATAGACCAGGATTTGGGTGCCCCACCCCTGTTCGCATCACAGCAACTCCAGTTTTAACTGTTTTATATTCTGGTCTTCCATAGAAAAAAAAGTTTTTGAAGGAAAGTGTCCAGTGCCAAGAAATAGAAAAATAATGTTAAAATTAATGATTTTGTCCCATTAATCCTCTGGTGTTGTAAAAGAGAAAACGAAGCTGAGAAGTTAACAGACCTTCCCAAGGCCTAAGTGGATGATGGCCCAGTCAAAGGTAGCCTGGTGCTGTGTATCTGTATTTTCATAGTTATAACCATAAATCATGTAGGGACCCAAACTTAGAGAATGATGTTAAGTAACAATAATATCTTTATTGCTGATTTTATTAAAAACACCTACTATGTTTGAGTGTTACGCTTATTGGTTGTCTAGATGGATCTTTTGATGATGTTTAAGAAAAAAAAATCTATTACAAGACAGTTCATCATTAGAATGAGAGAATTATAAGCATCTAAAGAGATCATATGATTTCTCTCTTATTTCAGCTACAGGTGTGAAATATGAATAGACTTCCAAATATCAATCCTCCCTGCATTTCCAGGTAAATACTTCCTGGTCATGGAGTTTTACTTTTTAAAATTTTTTATTTTAACTTTTTATTTTGAAATCATTATAGAGTCACAGGAAGTTGCAAAGATAGTATAAAAAGCGGTCCCAAGTTCATTCACCTAGCGTCTCCCAATGGTTCCATCTTACATAACTATAGAACAATATCAAAATCAGGAAATTTGTCCTGGATACAATGTGTACATGTAGTTCTCTCTCTTTATTTACTTCCCTAATATTTTTTGGTGATTTTTTTATTGTCATAAAGTGTACCTAACAAAAATTATCATCTTAGCCATTTGTAATTGCAACATTATGTAGATTCCCAATGTCACATGACCATCACCACCAGCCATTTCCAGAACTTTTTCATTATCCCAAACAGAAGCTCTGTACCCAATACACAATAACTTCATTTCTCCCTTGCCACAGCCCCTGGCCACCATTTTTCTACTTTCTGTCTCAGTGGATTCGTCTGTTTCTGGTCTTTTAAATGGTATTCTTGATTTCAATTTACAGCTTTGCATAAATGTCCCTATTTGTATGGTTTTATCATTTTAGGGCTTTACCAGCCGTTCTTTGCAGCCGAGAGCACCACAGATACACAGATTGAGGGAAATGAGACGTTGGTCAAAGGGTACAAACTTCCAGGGGTGCCTGGGTGGCTCAGTCAGTTAAGCGGCCAACTCTTGATTTTGGCTCAGGCCATGAGATTGAGCCCTGTGTTGGGCTCTGTGCTGGGCATGGAGTCTGCTTAAGATTCTCTCTCTCCCTCTGCCCATCCCCCTCCAAAAAAGGGTACAAACTTCCAATTATAAGATGAATACATTCTGGGGATCTAATATACAGCCTGGTGACTTTGGTTAACAATGCTGTATTGTATACTTCAACACTGCTAAGAGAATGATCTTAAATGTTCTCACCACCACCACCCCAACAAAAGAAGAGTAATTACGGGAAGTGGCAGATGTGCTAACTGACTTAATTGTGGTAACCATTTCATAATAGATACATGTATCAAATCACCACGCTGTACACCTTGAACTTACACAATGTTATATGTCAATTATATTTCAATAAAGCTGGGAAGAGAGAGAGAGAGAGGGAGAAGCAGCTGAAGGCCCAAACTAAGCAACTGACTTTATTTCCTCTTCGCTTGGAAGATACAGACCTAGTCCCTTGTCATTCAGGTAGCCCAATTACATGTATTGTGACTAGATATTTCTAAAACAGGCAAAAGGGAGAAATGTCACCTTCCCTTTTTATAGACTTGGAATCAAATATAAGATGCTTGCCTTTACAAAGGAAGTAAGTGACTGTCCTCTTGGCCAGCCCTGGGAATGGCATAAAGTAGAGACATTATACTTAAATATAAACAACTGGTATATAACATTATTTAACTGAGTCTGCTCCCTTTGTCAGGATCATTAATACTTTGATTGCTTAGTAGGTTTCATAAAATAATTTGTGCTTTTCTTTATTCTTTACTTAAGGGAATATTCTTTCTGGCCTTTTTATGACCCTTAACAAGGACGGTAAATTACAACATGACATCAGCATTTTCCAAAATGTGTTCCAATAGATGTTTTGGGGGAAAAGGAAATTTTTCTGTGGTCAAATACACTTAGGAAACATTGATTTAAATTAATTTAAACAGGTTTCTTTACTATAGGACTTTTCAAACTTTTAATATGCTGTGTGTATTACGAATCTTGCGGCGTATAGGGTGTGGTGCTTCGAAAACGGATTTTTCGGTGGAATTCCTTTCTCAGCGGCCAGCTTATAGACAAGGAGGCTGGGTGCCAACAGAACACACATTAAGAAAATCAAAATTAGACTAAGAGCAAATGATGCAACAAAGGCATAGTATTTACTTTGATGAACATCAATGGGCTTGAATAAGTCGACAGACTTCGGCTGTAACATATTTAAATCTGGTATATTAAAGAATATGTTGATTTTCAAAATACAGTAGAAGACCAGAGCATCCCGCCAATGAGAGTTGGCAGTGCCATGAATGGTTACTAATGAGGTAAAAGCATGAGCCTGTGCATTGGTCACACAGATGCAAAATTATTTTGAGGTTTCTTAGGAGTATAATAAAGCTGCAGTATTGTAGGGGCGCCTGGGTGGCTCAGTCGTCAAGCGTCTGCCTTCAGCTCAGGTCATGATCCCGGGGTCCTGGGATCGAGCCCCGCATCGGGCTGCCTGCTCCACGGGAAGCCTGCTTCTCCCTCTCCCACTCCCCCTGCTTGTGTTCCCTCTCACGCTGTGTCTCTCTCTCTGTTGAAAAATGGATGAAATCTTAAAAAAAAAAAAAAAAGCCTCAGTATTGCTTTAAGCTTATGAAAAGGTTCAAGATAAAAGAAATTGTCTTGGAACTCAATAAAAGGACTCAAGGAGCAATATCACCCACAATTAAAGTAAGAGAATAATCATGCTGTCATCCAAAAACAGTCCTTAAAGATCACAGAAGGTAGATTAATGACTGTATTAGTCAGCATCCCTCAGAGAAATAAAAAAAAAATTATATATATATATATATCTTCAAAACCCAAGCAGGGACCTTTCAGATGTTGTCTCAGGTTGACTAACCAGTTGACATTTCCAGAGAGTCTTGGTTCAGCCCCTTTGTCACAATTTCATTGCAGTGGAAATCAGTAGAATTCCAGGTTGTTCTATCTCATTGTTAAATGGGTCTCTGGCCAGACGTACCTGTTATAGCAGGAAATATAGATCAGAATTAAATTGCAGGAGAGTAGAGATCCAAATGCAAGGTCTAGTTTATGACCTTAGGTAAGTCATTTCCTGGGTAGTCTCAGTTTTCTCACCTGTGAAATGGAAACGCGACGGTCTTAGCATAGTGGAAGCATAACCAGCACTTTGCAGGACACCTGGACACACTGAACTGAGGACGGTGGCCAGGATGGTGGGAGGGATGAAAATCCACACTCATTTGAAGAAAATGGGCATAGGTAACCAAATACAAAAATACAGTTTTGGAGGGCAGGAAATTGCCTTTGAGTATTTCGAAAGCTATTCTGTGGAAAACATACTAAATTTTAAAACCTTGGCCAAAGGGTGGAAGTGACAAGATACATATCAAGGAGGATTTTTTTCCACAGAGGTGTTTATAAACGGTGTGATCTGGAGGCTCCTGGGTGGCTCACTTAGTTAAGCATCTGACTCTTGTTTTCCATTCAGGTCATGATCTCAGGGTCATGAGATCGAGCCCCAAGTTGGGCTCTGCACTCAGCAGGGAGTCTGCTTGAGATTCTCTCTCTCCCTCCCCCTCTCCCTCTCTGTTTGCCCATCCTCCCTTCAAATAAATAAATCTTTTAAAAAAATAAATGGTGTGATCTGATTTTGTGCTGTTGAATTTCTTATCACTAGGAAGGAGTGTTAGAGGACAAATGACCACTTCTGTTATAAGGGCATTCAGGGTTCACATGGGAAGGGCAATTGGAAAGCATTAAGGTTGTCTTCAAACTTCAAACTCTAATTCTCTATATCTATCTAGATTACTTTATTTAAAAATGAACTAATGTATGAGAAAAAAAGTTGAAAAGACTTAGACTAGTAGATGTCAGGTGATATCTCAAATACAAGGATGACAACGTGAGTAGCAAGAGAGCCTTGCAAAGCTCATGTTCATATATGGTGCTGGCATGCAGGAATAAGGAAAAGTTGAATGACTAAAAGTACAATCCGTTCAGTAAGAGAAATAGAGTGAAAGCTTTTAGCCACAGGAGGGAAATGGTCCCCAATTTTCCTTGACCCTCTGCCCATCTGTATTTTAAGAATTTGTTGGAGGGAAAATATGGAAAGTTAAGATAGGCCTGGGGGAAGGAAAGAACAATCGACATTCACTCAAAACAAGGCTGGTTTTAGAGGTGCCCTATAAAGAGGACAGGATTGCAGCTCTTATCTTTGCCCTCCAGCTCCCAGTTCCCAGTTATGGGACTGACTGGTATGTCCCACAGAGGGTGACTGGAGATTATCTGCATGACGGGGAAGAAAGTTGCTGCTCGCCTATGTCACTTAGAGCATCTTGTTCAGGGACCAAGAAGGCATCCTACAGAAAGCTCAGCATGTGACAATTAGACTATCGTGTAACTCTTGAGTTATGCAGCCTTGCACATATAGGTTTTCAAGTAAATAGCATCCTTTTTATACATGTGGTACAAGACATTAGCACACACTTTAGTGCTGGAAGCATTTTTAATTTTATCAGATTTATTCACCATTAAGTAACCTATGTGTCACCAACCTTGTCCTGCATACACTTCTCATTTACCACAGAATGGTGAGTACACTCAGAATTACTCAACTGGGGGCATTCCTGAAGGAATTGACATCTTATTTATATTGAGTCCAATTTTTGTTCTACATTAACACTTCACACTATCCCTCTTCGATGGTCTGCTTGAGAAATGCACTCATTTGGCTTACCTAGGAGAGCCTATCTTTCTTGGCAAAGCAGCCAGAGTTGGTGGTGGTCTTCATTAAATCCTCAACAGGTTTTAATTCTGATGGTGACTAAGACTGTGATCTAACGTCCTCTCTGACCACTTGAGTATGAGGCCAAACCATTAAGTATGATTCTGGAGAGCTCTTTAGAGGCAACAACTTTAAATGTAGAGAGAACAGGAAAGGAAAGAACCCCAGAGACATATAACAAACTCTGTTCTGCTCAGGAAATAATGACCACCAACAGCAGAAATCCAAGAAAAAGCCTCAGGACTGGAGCAGAGATGAGTGAAAAGAGTGGATAAATAAGGAAAAGGATTACAGCATTAGTACCTTCCAGGGGAGGAAATACGTGGTCAGGAAGTGGTTCGAAACTATTCAAGGAAGCCAAATCTATGAAAAGCCAGAGTGAGGAAATAGAGAATATTTCTTTGAAATAATGGAAATCATGAAGAGGAAATTCTAATCCATCTCCCACGTGGTCACTTGGAATCCTCCTACATAAACACTACGATATCCAAGACTGTCTGAAGGATAGAGAGGCAGATGAGCAAAGAAAATTGATTATAAAGGCCTTCCCAATGTCACGGAGATATACTTTATCACCTACACGTGTGAGGTGGAAGATAAAGTGAGGCATGCAGGTATTGCTTATACATCATCCCTAACGCAGTCTACACATGACATTGGATAACCTTGGCAGATGTGAGAGGGAGGAGAAGTGTCAACAAATGACAAGCTTTTAGCTCCCAGTTGGTCTCCCAATGGAAAATGGCTCCCAGGGGCCCCCTAAGGAAGAAATCTCTGGGAGAACTGCTTTAGTCTACGGGCCAACACTCCAGTTCTCCCCCAGAGGAGAGATCATCCTAGAGCTCACTCCTATTCCTCTTCCCCAGAGGGAAAAGAAATGCAAGTTCTTCAATCTGAAGTTAAGACATGGCAAGTAATATAGAGATGGATTGAGAATGGGTGAAATCCCATAGGATTGTTCTCTGTCTTAAAACTTTTGTATTCCCAGGGCGCCTGGGTGGCTCAGTCGTTAAGCGTCTGCCTTCGGCTCAGGTCATGATCCCAGGGTCCTGGGATCGAGCCCCGCATCGGGCTCCCTGCTCGGCGGGAAGCCTGCTTCTCCCTCTCCCACTCCCCCTGCTTGTGTTCCCTCTCTCGCTGTGTCTCTGTCTGTCAAATAAATAAATAAAATCTTTAAAAAAACAACAACAACAAAAAACTTTTGTATTCCCATGAGCCTGCAAGACAATTCTATGATGTCATGACTACAAATGCTCAGCATCTGATACTCCAAAAGGGAAGAGGTGGGAAAGGTAGAGCGTGGGAGTCAAGAGTTCAGCCCAAACATCCCAACGTGAGAAGGATTCTCGGCTCCCTGGAGCCACTTTGAGAAGCCAGGGGTTATCAACACCATCTGACACCCCAGCAGCTTCCAGACTAGAGGTCCCGGCAATAATCCCATCTGTAATTCCAGGTCCAAGCAACAGTCATTCAGAGATATTTGCCCCCAGTGGCTGGGCGAGGCCGTGTTGCTGCTGAGGAGTTGGCAGAATACACAGCTATGAAAAATGACGTCTCAAGGCTGTAGGTGTTAAATATCACAGGGATAGATAGTACAAAGGTCTGTGAGTTTTCAGAGCCAGAGACAGCCGATGACAGACTCTTGAGCTTCTGTCCTTCAATTTCAGGCTAAGTGGGTTCTCCAGTGACCTCGAGCTTTGGCTGTGTCCCAAAGGCTTACGGTAGAGATTCAAACCCAGAGATATAAACCAGGATTGTGTGCTCATTGCAAAACCAGTCATGCAAAATCTACAGTCGTAGGATGTAGGCAACATTCTGACAACGGCCATGATTCACTGAAGGAGAGGGGAATGAGCCAAGCAAGCACATCCTATTTACTGATTCTTAAATAGGTCACTTACCTTTTCTCTCTATGAATCTATTAATGTTTTTAGGGCCAGAGAACCAATTTAGCAATGGAAAAGACCACTGTAATTTATTCCCTAAGTCTCTACCTAAGTTCTGTGGCTAGGATGAGAGAAAAGAAAATACAGGCTTTGGGGAACTTTATTTTTTTAAAAGATTTTATTTATTTATTTGACAGAGAGAGAGCACAAGCAGGGGGAGTGGCAGAGGGAGAGGTAGAAGCAGGCTCCCCACTCAGCAGGGAGCCCGATGCGGGGCTCCATCCCAGGACCCTGCCATCACGACCTGAGCAGAAGGCAGACGCTTAACTAACTGAGCCACCCAGGCACCCCTTTGGGGAACTTTATAATCTAATTTGGAATTTATGATCTACTTTGGAACATCAGGTGAACAGACAAAATGGCTTGATACGTGGGGAGTGGGGTAGGGATGTGATAGAGCATTAGGGGCTGGAGAAGCCAGGTGGGTTAGGGACCCAGTGAGGACACAGAGAAGAAGCTTGGGTCAGACATACAAGGCTGGGTTGCATCTGGGGACCTGGCTATCTGGCAAGGGCAAAGGCTGGGACTTTTTGTTCGAGGAGCAGAGCGATTCACCTAACAAGAATAGGAGGTTTTGGGGGTGCCTGGGTGGCTCAGTCGGTTAAGCATCTGCCTTCAGCTCAGGTCATGATCCCAGGGTCCTGGGATCGAGCCCCACATTGGCTCCCTGCTTAGCAGGCAGCCTGCTTCTCCCTCTCCCTCTGCCACTCCCCCTGCTTGTGTTCTCTCTCTATGTCAAATAAATAAATAAAATCTTAAAAAAAAAAAAGAGACAACCCATGTTCAGTACCTAACACAGTGCCTGCCCAGGCAAGCTGGCAACAAATATTAGCTCATATATGTTTTTAGTCTTCATTAAGAGTAGGCACTGTGTCTGTCATTGTTTACATAGTAAAGTGTCAACACATGTTCTAGAATAAGTGAATATATAAATATATATTTATATATAAATGATATAAATATTTATGTTTAAGTATTGACATATAAATAATATAAACATTACATTTAAATATTTATATTAAATGTTTACATATAAATATTTAAATATAAGTAGTATATTTATATTTATATATAAATAATATAAACGAATGAACAAAAAGTACAAAAAAGCAAAGCAAACCAAGTGAGCGTACTCATGTCATCAACAAGAGTACCAAGTTTCTTTAAACCAATTGCCACATTTATTCAGATAGAATTTCCTCTGGATGAGTATTTCCTCCTTCAGTCATGGGAAAAGCAAACAAAACACAAAGAACCTGATATCTCACTGATGGCATTACAATTAAAAAGAGGATTACCCAAAGGAATTATATATGGTAACATTATCATGTTCAAATAAATCCAATTATTCATTTGAAAAGTTCAATGAGTGTTCAGCTTTCTCTATAGAAAAACAGCAACTATGTCTGTCCATTATAGAAAACCTTAGCTAATTTGTTCAGGCACACCATAGACAGCCATGGTACAATTTCAAGACCAGTATTTTTTTTACTGATAAATGATGCCCTATATAATTACGATTAGTTATAATAGCCAAAAAAAAAATAAGTATGATATTGAATTCAGCAGGTTAGTTACTGTAACATAAGTTAATTGGAATTTAAATCTGACCCTGGGCATGCACCTGGCATATTTTATGTAGCGTCTGACCGAAAAAGATCAATGGATTTGACTAGCAGGCCACGAGGACAAGTGTTAATACTATGACCTTCACACTCACTGAGGGCTTTGGATGTGTGATACTTCATCATACTTACAGTTCAAGGGATTAGGGCAGGTAATCTTGAAGATCCATTTTGGAATTCTGTCTACCACAAGCCCTCAATGTTATCCATGTACCATATTCATTCATCTCTCCCCACGTGGCTAGACCAGTATCTTCTACAGAGAATCCTGTTGGAAGGGTAAGTTCTCCCGTGCCATATTCTTGTTGTTCATGTTTGCCATGATCAGACAATTGCTTAACTCAGATCTCTTCTTCATTTGGCTTACACAGACATAGCTAAAGTCTGTTTCAGGCAAATGAATCTTTAAAATATGCCACAGACCCAGCGTTAAGAGAAATGAAACCATGATGAAATTTCAAATTCTTGCTGTTTTACCTGATGTTATTGTTAATTACAGAATTCTGCAGAAGGAGTCTTCAAACTTGCGATGATGTCAGCTGGCTTCCCATCTAAGGCTGTTCCACGGGCCCAAAATCTTTCAATACATACAAATTGGAATTGGAATTGGAAAAACTTTTGGCCAATTTGTAGCAGGTTTTCCATTTTCACTGACATTGTGGAAACCTAAATCGGCTTCTCCTTCAGGATCATCATCGTAAGAGTCTGGAAATATCCATCAGCCCCAAACACAGTCCAAGATTTTATGTTTTCTGGTTTTTACAGTCAGTTTTGATTTTTATTGAGCAATAAGAAATTTAGTTGTTTATTGGAACAAACAAGGCTAGTGACAATTCTTTCCAAGTGCTGGATCTTTCCATTCACTTTAACTAAATAAAGTATTTCTGGTATGCCCATAAGAGGCAAGAATGTAGAACTGCAGAGCATGTGTTAGAAAAGGATTTGCAATGCCTCCTGCAGGTCATTTCCCCATGATCAGCTTATTTGCATTTTGTGTTCTTTATAAATCTTCGCAAATACAAATTGGATGCAAATTCCAATCCCTCATGGTAAAATTGGAAGAGGCTTTAAAAAATGAGTTAACTAGTAAATTCCATGACTACCTCTTTGTTTTAAAGCAAACAAACCTAGCATCATGTCTATGAGCAAAGAACTTAGAGAAAGTGAGCCTGGATATTCCCACTCTGAAGAGGTAAGGATGCAGGCTGCAGGGGTGTATTGGGGGGCCCTATTGTGGGGTGGCCTGTGAGTAGTCCATAGGGATAAGAATCAGTCCCTGGCACTCAGGATGGGGGTGTGAGGCTGTAAGCTTACGCCTTTTTCTCATTGACTGAAGGACTCTTCTCATTCCCTTCTCTCAAGAGAACCATGTTTTATTATTATTTTTTAAGATTTTATTTATTTGGGCGCCTGGGTGGCTCAGTTGGTTAAGCGACTGCCTTCGGCTCGGGTCATGATCCTGGGGTCCCAGGATCGAGTCCCGCATCGGGCTCCCTGCTCGGCGGGAGGTCTGCTTCTCCCTCTGACCCTCCCCCCTCTCGTGCTCTCTCTCTCTCAAATAAATAAATAAATAAAAGAAAATCTTTAAAAAAAAGATTTTATTTATTTATTTGAGAGAGAGAGAGCACAAGCGGGTGGGAGGGTCAGAGGGAGGGGGAGAAGCAGGCTCCCTACTGAGCAGAGAGCCTGACACGGGGCTTGATCCCAGGACCCTGAGATCATGACCTGAGCCGAAGGCAGCCACTTAACCGACTGAGCCACCCAGGTGCCCCCTATGTTTTATTATTTTATCTTACTTTATTTTTTAAAAACAAGAACTACTTGTTTTTGCTATCCTTTCATTAAAAAACACATACATTAGGATATGTACGTATGCAGATTGTAAGAGAACCTTGTCTTAAAGGCTCCATTGAGACTCCCTTGTTCTCAGTTGGTAAACAACCCTGGAAGAAGGGATTTTTTTTCCTCTCTCTTCACCATTCCAGAGGCTCCTCTCCTCCCAGCATATACTAGAGCCAATAAGGAATTTCTCTAAATAGACGTATTGTATTTCTTCCACCATCTTTTCTGTACATGTTATGGAAATTCTTTCTTTAGCCTGATCACAAATTCTCACATCCAATAAATTCAATTGATGGGGTGGTGGTTTTAGAAATCAGTCCTGACCACCCAACTTAATTCTCTGGGATTTCTTTCTCATTTTGTTTAGCGACTTAGTGATGTGATTACATATGTGATCCTCCTCTACTCTCTCTTAAAGGGACCAGTCTTTTTTGGCATAATGTTCTTAAATCTGTTGAGTTTCCAGTGATAAATCAATGAATCTTTTTCTCCCTACCCCCTTAGTGGTCTAAACTGGATCTCTTGATAGGTCTCAAATGAGAATGGAAAGATTCACTCTCCTGAGTTTGAGCATGTTTTGCTGCTTTGGGTAAAAATCTTGGGCAAATTGCTTGAATCATAAGGCAAATCTTATTATAAGAAACTCCCTGGTCACCTGGGAGGCTCAGTTGATTAAGCGTCTGTGTCCGGCTCAGGTCATGATCCCAGGGTCCCACATCGGGCTCCCTGCTCAGTGAGGAGTCTGCTTCTCCCTCTCCCACTGCCCCTCCCCCTGTTCCTGCTCTCTCTCTCAGTTAAATAAATAAAAGATCTTTAGAAAGAAAGAAAGAAAGAAAGAAAGAAAGAAAGAAAGAAAGAAAGAAAGAAAGAAACTCCCTAATTCAGCCCAATTGTTCTGTTGTGTGGACTATCACATGGACAAATGAACTATTAGATAAATCAAAGAATGTTTTAGCTGAAAGGGATCACGGACCCTATGTAGTTCAACCTTCTCTTTCTGCAGACAAGGAAACTGAGATTCAGAGCAGCTTAATGAAGGAACCCAATGTCAAATGGAATGTAAAGTTTGAAGATCTGCTACCAGAGTGCCCAGTTTTAAGGTGTGGTTCAAACTCATCTGAGTTCCCCCCGCAAAAAGGAGATAATCATGAATATGAGCTCAGTTTTGATGTTAATTTTAACCACATGTCCCACAGTCAGGTTTAGCACTTAACTGGCGCTTGCCCACATTCCTGCTGAAGCATATAAACTGTCAGGAAATTGATTTTGCTTCATCCTTTGTCTGATAGAAATGGAATCTTTGAGTAAGGTGGTATTTTAAGTTCCTCATTTATAGTTAGAATTTTGCCATTCCCTGTTCATTTTTATGAGGTGTTCAGCTGGTCGTGATTGTGTACCTTAAAAACAATACCCAGAGTATTGCTTGTCTCATCAAGCTGCCTGTTAGTTCGTGCAATGGGGGAAGTTTTAGCCTGACTGCAGAGTAGGTACAGATAGGTTCAGAACAATCTACCTGTCAGGCCATTAACACATTTTTGGGCTTTCCCATTCCAATAACAATATATTTATGATGACCGTAAGAATCAGAAGTTCTAGAGCTTTGGATTCTTTTATGGCAGTCGAATTATTATAAATGTAGACTTTAAAAAGTGGCCAGTGTTGGGGCGCCTGGGTGGCTCAGATGGTTAAGCGTCTGCCTTCGGCTCAGGTCATGATCCCAGGGTTCTGGGATCGAGTCCCACATCGGGCTCCCTGCTAGGCGGGGAGCCTGCTTCTCCCTCTGCCTCTGCCTCTCTCTCTCTCTCTGACTTTCATGAATAAATAAATAAAACATTTAAAAAAAAAAGTGGCCAGGGCGCCTGGGTGGCTCAGTTGGTTAAGCGACTGCCTTCGGCTCAGGTCATGATCCTGGAGTCCCGGGATCGAGTCCCGCATCGGGGTCCCTGCTCGGCGGGGAGTCTGCTTCTCCCTCTGACCCTCCCCCCTCTCATGTGCTCTCTCTCATCCTCTCTGTCTCAAATAAATAAATAAAATCTTAAAAAAAAAAAGTGGTCAGTGATATTTATCACTGTGAATTTGACTTAACCAAACCAAATCCTAATTTACCCTTCTGGGACTTTTGGAGATATTGAGAGATGTTTTTGACTGTCACAACTGGGGACGGGTATGTGCTACCGTCATTTAGCAGGTAGAGATCAGGGATGCTGCTGAACATCTTACACTGCACAGAACAATTCCCCACAACGAAGAATTATCTGTCTCAAAATGCCGATAGTGCCAAAGTTGGAAAAACTTGCTCTAAAAAAGAGGGATAATTCCAGTCCTCACACCAAATATTAGCAAACTATGGTTAATATTCTTAGAATTCCTCGAGTAAGCTGCTAAATGAACATTGAGAATTATAACTCAAAATACCATTCTTCAGTGGGAACCAGAATATGACAAAGTGAAAAATGTATATTTCATGGGTTTAACGGAAAGCTAGAAAAGACAACTAAATACGGACACAGTGGTATGTCATATATTCAATAATTTTGTCATAGACACACATTGGAAACTCACATACAAATCCACAAAAACCTATTTCATCAAGATGCAGGGCCATTTATATTTTTAAGCTATAGCATAAGGACCTTTTATCATATTGAGTTGACATACTTTGTCAGTCCCCATACTGGGCCATTATTCAACCAAGTCAATATTGTATCTTCGTCAGTGAGATTGTATCAGTTAGTTTTGCTGTATAACAAACTGTCCTAAAACTCAATAGCCTTCATCAATAGACATTTACTTCTGTGTACTTGGGTCCATAGGTTGATTGAATGGCTGATCTAGGTTGGGCTCAGCTGGGTAATTTTGGCTTGCTGGGCTTAGCTCTTCATTGTGGGTTGAACTTGAATTTGCTCCTGTGTGTTCTTGTACCCAGGCTAATGGAGCAGTAGCTCCATTAGTAGGAAGCAGAAATGTGGTGTATCTTAAGACCTGGGCTCAAAACTGGCAGCGGTCACACTCTGTTAGCCAAAGAAAATCACAAGGCCTAGCCTGGCATCAATGGGGTAGAGAAATGTTCTCTGCCACTAGTGGGAGGAACTGCCAAGTCACACAGGAAGTATGGGAATAGGAGAAGAGTTGAGAACCCTTACACAATCTGCAACCTGCATATGGTAGTTCCTCATGACATCATCTCAAAAGTTTCATGGATCATTTTATTTTTTGCTTTTATTTTTTTTTTTAAAGATTTTTATTTATTATTTATTTGAGAGAGAGAGTATAGAAGCAAGGGGAGCTGCAGAGGAGAGGGAGAAGCAAGTTTCCCCTTGAGCCGGGAGCCCAACGTTGGGCTCAATCCCAGGACCCTGGAACCATGACCTGAGCCAAAGGCAGATATTTAACAGACTGAGCCACCCAGGCATCACTTCATGGGTCATTTTAAAGCAGCTTTAACATCTTACGCACAGACACCCATGTGGCTAGACCATCCATAAACATAAATTTTTTAGAAGTTTAATTTTCTTTTATTGCAAAATAAACTTATTTGGAATGAAAAAAATCATTTACAATATTATAATCCACAGAAAATGACAATGTTTTGGTGTAATTACTTTTAACATTAAATTGCTTTGGGATTAGAGAAATAATTTTTGCCTATGTTGAGAATTTGGAGGACAGTAAGAAGTATAAAAATTGAAATCCCACTACACAACAGTTGTCTCTGTTAACATTTTTCTATGCACAGATTTTGTTTTGCTTAGTTGGTAGCAAACTGTATGTGAATTTCTCATCCTAATTTTTCTCACCAAAATATATATTAAGCATTTCCTATGTCATTAAATATGCTTTGCAAACAAAACTTTGGTAGCAGTCAAAGCATGTAGATATCCTCCACCCAATCACTTTCTTAAACTATCTTTATCTTAAGATATCTTAAGCATCTGTCAATGTTCTTAAGTAGTGTTTTCCACACAATTTCTTTTTATTTTTTTAAGATTTTATTTTCTAAGTAATCTCTACACTTGGGGCTCAAACTCACAACCCTAAGATCAAGAGTTGTATGCTCTACTGACTGAGTCAGCCAGGTGCCCCTCCACACAATTTATAAAGCACATCTTCGAAAAACAACTAAAGACAAAGGGAGTATATCCCAGAGATGGATCAAATTCTGGTTATATACAACCTTACAACTTTTTTTTAGTAGACATTATGATTAAAACAACTCAACTATTTCTAGCGAGGCTAACCAGGACAGGAGCCAAAATTCACCAGTGCCAACACAAGTCACAAAAATTCTTTAAAAGTTCATATCTAGCTTATTTATTATCTTGGAACTAAGAGTAACATATGCTTTCCTGGTGATGCTTTTTAGTGATTTTCTTCTAGACAAAGAAACATATTAAGGCTTTAAATCACAGAATTTTGACAGTTCACAATGTCGATGGCTTTTCATCGTAAAGACTTTTGGGGCTGTGG